AACGCTGTGACCTTCCCACCAAGGTGGTCCCTATTTATCTACTTGCATTTGCATGCTTTCAAACTGCTAGGTTGGCAGGAGCTGGGACAAGCGACGGGGGCTCACTCTGCCGCGTGTAAGAAATGGTCGGGTGGAGATGTAAGGTGACCTCAGCTCAACTAGGATTGGAGTTGAAAGGCTCCCTGAAGAGCTGTGTCTTCAAAGGCCTCTTAAGTGTCTCCAGGCCTATTCCGCAATTATGGGGCCACTATGAAGAAGGCCCTACTTCTTATAGAAGTTTTTTCCCCCTTACAAAAGCGTTTAAATGTAAAAACAGAAGTGAGTCATATAAGATCATATAAGCAAGTGACGGAAGTGACAAATGCAGCTGAAATATTAAACTGGAAGACTGGTAGCTGTGGAATTAAGAGTCTGAAATACATTGTGTTTCCTATGTATAATCTCTGTACACAGACTGTTAATCTAGATCCGTGGTTCTCAACCACGTGGTTCTCGGACTAAAACTCCCAGAAGTCTTCACTCGCTGTGCTGGCCATGATTTCTGGGAGTTCTTGTCTGGGGACCCAAAGTTGGGAACCACTGATCTAGATTCTTTGAGCGATGCATTGTGAGCACATGTTCAGCAACGCATGTGAACGTCAGTGTAGAGAAATAAGATTTGGAAGAAAGAGAGAAAAAAACTAAATCAAAGATGTGTTGAAAAAGGAAGCCAGGGAAAAAAAAGCACCATGGAATGACAGGAGATCTGAGTGATAAATGAAACATTTTAAATAAGTGTTTAAGCATTTAAATGGTGTGACAGAGGGGTTTAAGAGAACAAGGAAGAAGACCAATAACATGAAAAAGTTTGCTGCTTATAGAAAGTTCCATAGCACTTAGAACACTCTCTGGGCAGTTTACAATTTAATTATGCAAGCTATGCAATTTAATTATGCAAGCTACATATTCTCCCCACCACCACAAGAAAGCTGGGTACTCAGTTTACTGACCTGGGGAGGATGGAAGGTTGAGTGAACCTTGAATGGGCTACCTGGGATTAAAACTTGGCTGCGAGCAGAGTTTTATGTGTAATACTGCAGCTTAAGTGTTCAGTGACTCCCAACCTTGGGTTTCCAGATGTTCTTGGACTCCAACTCCTGGAAATCCTGGTCAGCACAGCTAGTGCTGAAGGTCTCTGGGAGTTTTAGCCTAAGAACATCTGGGGACCCAAGGTTGGGAATCTCTACTCTAAGCCAACAGCTCGTGTGACAGACCACCTGATGACTGAAACATCAGATAATGGTATATGTTTGCAATCGTGACCGATACATGACATCAGGAATAGAACAACGGTCATGGATCCCAAACAGACAAGTTTTTTTTTAAATGAAAGCTTTTGGCATTCAGGCAAAAGGAGAGAACTCAAGTAGCAGCCATGCATCTATGAACAAGTCCATGGTGCAAGAGAACGATCAAGTGATGCATACATGTATATGTGCACTTTCACTCTTAATAGCCCAACCCCCTAGTACAGTGGTGCCTCACTAGACAATGATAATCTGTTCCGCTGAAATCACTGTTTAGCGAAATCATTGTCTAGCGAAAAGCATTTCCCCATTGGAATGCACTGAAACCTGTTTAATGCATTCCAATGGGGAAGAAAGTAACAAAGGTTAAGAACCACTGCGCTAGACAACGATTTCGCTAAACAGCGATTTCAGTGGAACGTATTATCATAGTCTAGCGAGGCACCACTCTAGTTAGTTCCATGCAGAGCCACAGTGACCAGCATGTCTCTACAGGGAACCTCTGAGACCTCCAGGAATGAGGAATTGGTACTAGTATGGCCACTACCCTGAAAGTTATCATTGTTTTGCTTCCCACTTCAGCCTCCCGTGTTGCTTGGACCACCCTTCTATGGAATATTTCCATGTCTAAATACCAAGCAAGCAGGGAGCACCCAGCCCTATTTGGTGTCCAGACTCTATATGTGGCTATCATTATGAGTCGTCAGTGCTTCTAAGATTAGGAACACCAAGGCAAATAGTTTCCTATTTCCATTTCATTATCTGCTCTGTGAATGGATGGGCTGATGAAGTGGTACAGAACATGTTGCTATAGAAAACTTTTTGACACACGACAGGTGTAAAACAAAACACACATTGATAAATGTAATTATTATCTGAGCAAGTCCGAAAAAAGAAAATGGAATTCTCAGTGAGTGTATTTTCAGTAGTTCCATCTGAAGACATTTGCATACTGTATGGAAAATGACAGGCAACCCTTGAACTGTAGCTGCTGAGCAACAGCTAAACCACTGCTTGGCTATGAAGGGCAGTTAGCCGAATTCTCTTTCCTTGCCTTCTGCCCGCTTTGCTAACATTTAATACACCTTGCTGTAAATGCACAGCTCTGAAAGACAAATGAATACCTTGAGGGTGTTTTTCTGAATGTTTTCCCTGTGAGGGCAAAGCCAAGCACACGGACACCACCTGAGTAATGATGCATCTAGTAAAGCAGTGCGTGCATTTATATGACACTTCACAGCTCTTTACAGCAAGAAGTATTAAATTAACGGCTGCCACGGGGGAGGCGGGGAAGACCCAACCATCTGCTATGGAACACTTTATGGCTATCTGACAGTCCAGGGTAAGCATTCTGAGGTATGGGGTGAATTTTATATGCAGTAATATCTTACATGGAGGGACGTGGTGGCGCTGCGGGTTAAACCACAGAAGCCTCTGTGCTGCAAGGTCAGAAGACCAGCAGTCATAAGATCGAATTCACGTGACGGAGTGAGCTCCTGTCATTTGTCCCAGCTCCTGTCAGCCTAGCAGTTCAAAAGCATGTAAATGCAAGTAGATAAATAGGTACCACCTCAGTGAGAAGGTCACAATTTTCCGTGTCTAGTCGCACTGGCCATGTGACCATGGAAACTGTCTTTGGACAGACACTGGCTCTACGGCTTGGAGATGGGGATGAGCACCGCGCCCTAGAGTCGGACACGACTGGACTAAATGTCAAGGGGAACCTTTACCTTATACCTTACATGAGGAAGTAAATGAAGTATGGTACATTTGTTCAGTGTTCAGGGCACTTTTTTGCCTATGGAACAGGCAAATTCGCCACATCTTGAGGTCAACTTGAGTTAAACCAGCCTTTCAGTTGCATTGTTTTCTTGTCCATGCCATTGACTGTGAGCTGGAATGGATGCAAAGGATTACAAATCAAAATGAGATTGTGAAGTCTTGCACGAAGATACTGACCTCTGTCAAAGCATCTACTACACCCTTTTTGCAATATGATGGTTTCCAAATGTGTCTTGCTTTGGAGGACGTGCCTTTTTCTTAGAAAAACAATCTAATATTTTAATTAAAACCCACTTCTTCAGACACAAACCTGCAGTTTGTGAGCAGGCCAGAAAAAGTGATAAATGAATGTCCCAAAAACTCACAGCAAAAGTTGCCAAGTATACTTAAGGTGTGTTTAAAGCTGGTTATAGGCAGGCAGTGATAATGTGCTTGGAAATTTCCATTCACTATTCAGAGCAAGGCAGCCCATCACTCTACATAAGCCTCCCCACTCCCTATATTGCCTGCTTTTGGAAAACAAGTTTCTTATAATCTTTAACTTGTATAAAATTTCACTTCCACATGTACTCTTGGGATGCGGGAGGAGTGGTGGTAGCATCACTTCAAACCCCATGGAAGTGGTCCATAAGATTGTGAAGTGTTTAGACAAGAGATTGGAAAGTTCTTGTATTAGAGAATATAAAAGAGTTAAAAATAATAAATACATAGATAGCCAGGATATGTTGAGACCCTGAGTAAAGTGGATGAATACCAGCGAGCTTACATGTAGCCAAACCCACATTTATTGAATGAATAATAAAAGAACATCAATGATTTTACTGCTGTGATTTACCTAACAAACCATAAATAAACCTTGTTATATTTGGCAGCAATAGTCTGAGATTCATAATTGGTACAGTGAGGGTAATATCCTCTGGTGGCAGCGAAAAAGGGTAAAAAGAACAGGTCGTGTCCGAAGGTGAACCGGGGTGAGTGGGAAAACATACCGGGGACACTGGGGGTGTGCAACATACACTACCTTGAGTTTTGCTGGAGAGGAGGAAAGGGATGTGAATACAAAAGCAAAGCAAAGTGTGCTGCTTATATCCTACCCCCATAGAGGCTGAACACTTCTGAATTTTATACACAAGTTGTTGTGCCAGTGTACGTGATAGGATTCAAGCCACTTTTTGATACTTTTAAATAATACAGATATATTCTTTTTATAATACAGAATAATTCTTTTTTATTATTTTTCTTTTCGTTTTGTTTTTGGGCTTTTTTAATGAACTAGTTTAACAGGATCACTCCTCTGAAAACTGCTGTGTGGACTACAGTTTCCAGAATCCGGTTGCTGCCAGATGGCCAATAGCCATAATAGCGAGGGGTAGGGGCCCAAAAATGTCACTCTTCAATGCTCTCATCTTACATGTAGATTGAGTAGGAAAGTGACCTCATTAAAAAAAAAAAAAGAAATTGAGGTACAGGAAATAGAGTTGCTCTTTTTTAATCTCCTCACTCCTTAGCCTTTACATGTCCTAATGCTCTCATTCTCTCTTTACACAAGACTAAAACAGACATTATAAGTAGCCCTCATTAGAAAACAAAAATCCTTTAAGGCTGATGGTGTGTGAGTGTCACAACAGGATTTTGGTCTCACCTCCTTTTCACAAACCCAGAAAGACTGCCTGAGTCACAGCTCTCCAACACTAACCTGTGATCAGGTCCAATTACAGGCTGTGGATAATGACTGATTCGGCTCTATGGCTTCCAAGCCCTTCTTTCTCAGTTCACCTGTGCAAAGCCTGATGAGGAAATGGGGCTTAAAAGGATGACACAGCGACAGGTGGACCTTGTAGGGAGGTTGCGCCCGGGCGTGCTAAGGTGCTGTCAGCAGCTTTCACAAGCTGCCTCTATCGCTGACACTGTCTGTTTCTCTTCCCTCCTTAGAAAATGAGTTCCGAGGCAAATTGCTGAGTCAGAGGTGGACCCGTGGAGAAAAGATCAGCAGTTGCGAGACAGCAAAAAGCCTCCACAGCAGGCACCTCAAGGTGAGCACACAAGGCCTTCTTCCTCGGGGAAAAATGCAAGCGTAGGGCACGCACGAGGCATGCAAAATATCACCATGCATGCCACGCTGTTACCTGATGCTGGGATGAGGGTCACGAGGGGGCTTTGGATGGCGAACTCTGTGGAAGAAAGTAGGTTCTATCTAAATAGAGGTGAGCACGGAGCTGAAAAATGATTAGTCATGATCCACCACGAGCCAACTGGAAAACCACTGTTCAGTGTCCTATTTTTGCTCAGTGCAGGGTGCCCCACCTGCTCCTGCCATGTTGCCGCCGCCATGCCATGCTGCAGTGGTGGCAGCCATGGTGGCACTGCTTCCCTTCCAGGAGCCCAGGTGCTGCCTTCTGCACCTGCGGCCAAGCCCCAACTGAATGCCCTGAGAGGCGGGCACATCTACAGGAGACAGTGACCAGCTTTCCTGCAAGGAGCCTGGGCGCTGCCTCTGGGCATGCACCCGACCTCCCAGCTGATCGCCCTGCTCCTGGAAGGGAAGCTGGCCCATGCATCTGATGATGGTGGCAGCAATGGAGACAGCAGAGGTAGCAGGACGTCCAGGTCAGGGGGCGTTGGGACAGAGGAAAGGATGTGTGAGCAAAATGAAGTGTCAAGGGGGGAAAAGTTTGGTGCTTCGATTTGCATCAGCAAAACAGAATCCCCGAACTGGGTTGCAAACCGAATCATGTGTAGGCATCTTTCAATCTCAAGAGACTATGGTAACGTGCTCTGAATAGAGGTCTTGGAACAGCGTCTAGTGTGGTTGAGAAGGCCAATTCGAGTGTGACAACTCCTTCCACATCGAAGACAAATACAATCTTTCCTCTGTCCAGCTCCCTGATTTTGTTGGTTTCGGGATGGCCTCTTTGCCTCGGCCTGCTGGACAAGGGCCTCTTCAAATTGGGAGAGGCCATGCTGCACCGCCTGCCTCCAGGCTGAACGCTCAGAGGTCAAGGTTTCCCATCTGTTGAGGTCCATTCCTAAGGCCTTCAGATCCCGCTTGCAGATATCCTTGTATCACAGCTGTTGACTCCCTCTGGGGCGATTTCCCTGCACTAATTCTCCATACAGGAGATCTTTTGGAATCCGACCATCAGCCATTCTCACGACATGCCCGAGCCAATGTAAACGTTGCTGTTTCAGTAATGTATACATGCTAAAAAATCTAGCTTGTTCTAGGACTACTCTATTTGGGACTTTGTCCTGCCAGGTGAAACTGAACCAGCCCAATTCATTGGTTCTTCTGGTTCATTATTCGGTTAGTGCCCATCTTTACTTCTAGGAATGGTAGCTAACTTGTCAGAATCAGCCTGACAGCTGATTACACTGGATGTCTCCATTTTCACAGGCAGTATATCTGTAAATACCTGGTGCTAGCAACAAACAACAATTTCAGAGATTATTTAATTTTTCAGTGCCCAGAGACATTTCCCTGGAAGCTTTTGAAACACAATACCTGCCCAAATTGACCTCACTCTGATGGCACAGGTAATTACAATGTTCACACTGCATACAAAACTACAGCTTGGAAAATATTTAACTTTTTAAGGATATGACTCTTAAACCTCCCCAGTTAGCATAACCACTATTCTGACTAGACGATTATGAGAGTTGTACTGTGAAAATGAAATAACGCTCCCAGGCTCTGCGTACAACCCATCCATTGCTTTCTCCTCTTGTGGTCATTCTGACCTAAGGGTCTCAAAACTTCAAAGAAGCAGACTAAAGTTGTGGTCCCATTCATGCTGAGGATGTGATCCAACAGAGAAATCTCACTTTTGTGAGCTATTTCCCAGTGATCACACAACATAACATCCATAGCTTTCCAAGCGACCCTTTCTGGTGTGATCAGACACAACCTTTCTCATTGTAAGATCATGCCCAGATTAACTGAATAGGACTGGCACTTGATTACACTGGAATCTCCTCTCTATTAAAACTGCATGTTTTGGTATTGATGTCCATTCTTCCCCTATATGGGCCAAATGTAGTCATCAGCCTGGTTTAATGTGGCCTAATTTTGAAAACCCACAGCAAGAAATCCTTTCATATTTCTGGGTAGAGGTTTATCTCCTTACCTTGGCAGCAAAAGAAGAGGAAGAGAAAAGGAGTGACAAAAAGGAAGAGAAATGAAGAGAGATAATGGAGGGGTAGCAGAAAGACAAGAAAGTGACCCTCAAACAACTTTAGTTTCTGCCCTACCTACTTCTAATTTCAGCCCCTCCCACTCCTGGCATGTGGCCCTCAACAAGATGCTATGGTCCTCAACAAAATAGATTCTCTCTTTCAGTGACAGCTGCTGGTAACTCCAGTTTCAGTGGTACTGTAAATCCACTTCAGGATTTAGTTTGCACTTTCAGGATCTGAAAATGGTGCTAAAGCTTATCCACAAAACAGCATCAGGACCTTGGAGAGGTCTAACTAGCAGCAAACAGAAATGGAGCAGAGAAGATTCAAAAGAGATGGGGAAAATAGAGTAGAAATATGGTATGCAAAGGTAGAATTGCCATATCTGTTTCTTGGTGGCTAATCCAGACTTTCCTAATTTAGTGACCTCCAAATATCTTGTACTGTACTATACATTCCATCATCCATGAAAAACTTGGCCATCAGCCAAATGTCCAAAAGGATTTTTTTCCAGTCTTCTTTACAATTCTCACTTTCTTCCTCACTTTGTTCTTCCCTGTTTTCATACTGTATTTTTCCCTAGCATATAAAAAATGTGAGTTTGTTTTTTCCATGGCTTTATCCGGTATGCATTGATGTACACATTCTTCTAAGGTGTGCACATCTTTACGCATTTTTGTATTTACTAAAGCATGCTTGTGATCATTTTCAACTGTATGGATTTTTAAGTGTGCATGTTTTTGAAATACAGTACACTCGTGGTTTATGCATTGTCCCTTCAGACATGCCTCAGTATTCTTGTGAACATACAGATTTCCAAACCTGAAAGCACTGCATTCCATTAGCTGTCTCGGTGGGGGGGGAATAGATATGGAAATTCAAATTCAACGCATTCCTTTTCCATTCAGAAATACTACTTGAAAATGGTCAGCCTAGCCTAGCCTGAGAGCTCTTATTGTTTTACTATTTCCTTTAAATAAAAAAAAAAACAGCTTCTGTCCTCTGCTTTCAACAGAAGGCTGATGAGCAGATATTAGCCAGTAGTAATACAGTGGGGTCTCTACTTAAGAACTTAATCCATATTGGAAGGTGGTTCTCAAGTTGAAAAGTTCTTATGTTGAATCTGCATTTCCCATAGGAATGCATTGAAAACCATTTAATCCGTATCTGCTCTTTTCTGTCCATAGAAACTACAGTGGAACCTCTACTTAAGAACTTAATCCGTTTTGGAATGGTGTTCTTAAGTTGAAACGTTCTTAAGTTGAAGCAAAATTTCCCATAGGAGTGGACTGAAAACCAATTAATCCGTTCTGGCTGTTTTTTTGTTATGTAGAGGTGCGTTCGTACATTGAAGCATTAGTTCCCATAGGAACTAATGCAAAGCTGGTTAATATGTACTCTACCACTAGGGGGAGAATTTTTTTTTAACCTAAGATGACCTAAGGTTAAAAAAAGAGCAGGAAAGTTTTTTTTTCCTGTTCTTATCTTGGATTTCTGTTCTCAAGTAGAAGCAAAATTTAGCAAATGGAGCTGTTCTTAAGTTGGATTGTTCTTAAGTAGAGACGTTCTTAAGTAGAGACCCCACTGTACTTACCACTTTGCCATGAACAGCTCCCTTGTTAAATTGTTGCAGAGGGCACAGGAAATACTCTGGCTAGCTTGTTTTGCAAATTTGCAATGCAACCTGCACTGTATCAGAAATGGCTCAGACATACTCCCATTGATTTAAGAGATGAAACTCAAATCCTTGGAAAACCTGTCCTAGTAGTTTCCATTCCACTTGGGGATGCGCACGACCCTCCCAACCCAGTTCATATCCAGATCTCTTTGGAAAAACCCAGTTCCCATAAATGGGGAAACACATAACAACTGATGGTTGTTGTGGGTTTTATTTTTATTTGTTTGTTTGTTTGTATTCTGGAGGTTTTCCTTCCTAATGTTTCACCAGTCAATGTGGCCAGCATCTTCAGAGGACAAGAGCTAGAATTCTGTCTGTGTTCTCGAGAACACATAACAACTGACTTGACATGGGGTGGGGCCAGGCAGGGCTTCACCAGTTTTGGAGATACGGTTGATCTTAACTACTCAAAGGAAGACACACAGGAGTGTTTTATTTCTGTTCATGGGCACTGTTCTTGCAATGGCAGAGAGATCAGCATGCAGTGATATTTCTATCATCGCACTAGTGAAGAAGAAAAAAATGAAAGGGGGAGAGGGAGAGAGAGATACCCAAGCACACTAATTCACACTAATTCCGACCTAGCCACTCAAAGCCCATTTGAGAAGAATGAAGGCATTCATCCGCAGCTGCCAACATACACTCAGCCCTAGTACTGTAGAATTCAATCAACTAAATTGGGTAAGAAAGAAAGAAAAGAATGTTCTAAAACATGGATCTTAGGTCGCAACAATAGCACAAAACTTCACTTTGCCCTGCAGCTATGCAAAGTGGCTGGTGGAACAGCTGCAAGGGAATTAATAGCACACAGTGGCTGAAATCCTGCTGCTTAACATAGAGTAAACCCATTGAATCATTGGTGATCTCATGAGTCAGCTTCTCTGGAACTTCCATTGATTCAATGGGCCTAATACAATATTGTGGTTTCTATTCTAAGCAATATAATTTCAGGCAAAGATTTCATTTTGAGCCTGCATGTCACCCCACTAGTTGGAGTGTCCAGAAGAATTACTGGATTTTTGATGGGTGTTCAGCTCTTGATTTCCTCTATGATGGTGGGCCAGTTTTCCTTGATTGCTTTTGGTTTTCCTTGGTATCCTACCTATGTCTTTTGATCTCAGAGTAAATATTAAAACTTTATCTCACTACTGCCAGACTGAGCACAAAGTATAGGTAGGAGGG